CCTTCACATATACAGGAAGAGCCGCCGCAACAGCTTTTATCAGCATTTCCTTTGCCGTCTTAGACAAATGTATTTGTTTCCAACCCTGGATCTTCTACAATAGCTTCTCCTCCAAAAATTGGAAGGTATCTGCTTTTGAGGGAGCCACCAAGGAAGGTAAATCCAAATACTTGTCCTTAATTCCCACCACACCAACCCCTAACAGGTTCGCCAAATTCTGCACCTCAGTCGCAAGCAAATTCACACTAAAACAGACAACCGATTTATCCAGATTAACACGCTGACCAATCAGGCTTTCATATTCCAACAACAACTCCTTAAGCCGAGCACATTCCGCCACAGAAGCTGTAATGAAGAGATAGGAGTCATCGGCAAAGAAAAGGTGAGAAACACGCGAAGTCCGAGGACTTACACGCACCCCTTCTATTTGTCGTCTCCCAACCGCCTGTTTGAACAAAGCTGTAAAACCTTTCGTACAAAGGACGAATAGAAGAGGAGATAAAGGATCTCCCTGCCGCAATCCTCGAGTAGCGAAAAAGAAACCCGACGGTTTACCGTTCATCAAAATAGAGAAAGATGAGGTGGACACACACTCACGAATCTAGCTGATCCACAGAGGACTAAACCCCAATTTTCTTAAGACAACCAGTAAGAATGGCCACTCAACCCTATCATAGACCTTTTCCATACCAACCTTCAGAGCTAAGTAACCCTTCTTTCCCTTCTTCTTAATCTTCAGATAATGCATAATTTCATGTCCAATTAGCACATTATCAACTATTTGACGCTCTCGGATAAACGCGTTCTGTCCCGGAGACACTATGTCTGGTAAAAAACTCGCCTTCCTTTCCGCCATAATCTTTGATATGATCTTGTACACAAACTGGCACAGGCTGATCGGACGCAGTTGTCGCATGGTTTCCACTTTCTCTACTTTTGGGATAAGAGTCAGCCAAGTGTGGTTAAAATTTCTTAAAATACGTCTATTGACAAAGAATGACCGTACAGCTTCAACCACCGAAGAACCAACAATATCCCAAAAATTTTTGAAGAACTTCCCCGTAAATACATCCGAGCCTGATGCCTGAGTTGAACCCATTGCAAAGACCGTCCATTTGATCTCAATCAAAGTCACCTCTGCTACCAACTCACTATTCATGCCAGTCGTAACCCTCTGTTTTATGGGTAACACATTCTGATCGCCTAATTTCAACCACTAGAGACGGGACTTTTGGCGCCAATAAAGTTCCTCCTCCACCCATTTGATAGTTAAATCCTTCTCAAGGGTGTTAATCCTCTCCCAATCAATTGGGTATTCCTCCTTAACGGCACTAATTTCCGCCTCCAACGTACGAATCTGCCTTGCAGAATTGGAAATTCCTGCTCAACTCCATTGATATAGCTTACGATGAAGCTTATTTAACTTCGTCTAGAGTTGGAACATAGGGGAGCCTTGAACACCCTCCTGCCAAACTGCCTCCACAATCAGGCGCACCTCCGGGTTCGCAGCCCAACGGGCATCAAACCGAAAGAGAGGCCGAATCGTGCACTGATAAAATTACATGTACTTTCATGTAATTTATTACTTTCAAATTTATTATTTATTAATATTTAAATTAAGAAAATGAAGAAAAGAAGCTAATCTAGTTGCAATTAGGGCTGCAAATGAGCCACGCTGCTCGCGAGCGCCTCGGCGTTCGCCTCGAGAAAAGCTCGTTTGAAACTTAGCTCGTTAATAAACGAGCCGAACATGAGCTAAACTTTATTCAGCTCGTGAAGCTCGCAAGATAGCTCGACTCGGTGACTTGTTGAGCTAAACTCGTGAGCTGACTCGTTTAGAGCTCGTGATATGTCTCAACATGTTGCTAGAGAGCCAGCTCGATTACCGACGTATGGACGAATCAATCTATATCTTATTATTTTAATTCATATGGTTATTAAATTATATATGTCGCCATATATAAAGTTTAACACATTGAGTATGTGAGCAAATATATCTTATTTTCTATTTTAAAAAGAAATTAGTTATCATAAATTGCTTCGATACTATGAAATAATATGATTTGGAGTAGTTAAAATTTATTAACTAAATGATATATGATACCAACAAAGTATAATATGAGATTAGCTAACAAAATAAATCACATGTATCATGATATACAAAATGAAGTACCTTTTTTTTTTGCCAAAAGATACTTTGTATTGAACGAGATAACCGAGATACAAAAGAGTCAGCTGGCAGACCAGAGTCAGCTAGCCGACCAGAGCCAGGAACGAAAATCGAAACCCTATCAAACTAGAGAACAATTAAAGGACTTTTTTGGCCACCATATGGGTCACCCTATTACGAGCACGACCAACAAAACAAATACTAAACTAGTGGAAACATTGTCTCATCAACTTAATCTCGCACAAAATCGCCCACCACGAGCATCCAAACACAAGTCCTCCTTAACCTTGTCCAGCACCACCTGAGCATCTCCGGCGAAAACGACATCTTGCACGCCCATCTCAAGCACCCACTGGATCCCATCCCTCAAGGCCAGAAGCTCCATCAAGAAAGGGTCTTTCACATCTGGGTACAAAAAAGCATCGGCACCAAGCAGCGTTCCTTAGGCGTCCTCCAGAACCCAACCACTTGCACCATGGGAACCCGAACTAACGGCTCCATCCGTGAATACCTCATAATGCTAGACAAGCCTATCCTGAATCGGCAAATAAAACTCAAGATTTTAATAAACAAACTAGTTCGAACTCGACTCGAGCTCAATTCATTTGTTAACGAGCCGAGCTCAAACTAAAATAAAACTCGACTCGACTCATTTGCAACCCTAGTTGCAATGCCATCTCCTCCCTTCGCTCCAACAAATTGCATCGCCAGACTAACCTCACTCGCCACTTCCACGTTCTCCAATCTCGCGGTCCGATTCTTCCTCTCCAAGGGGTTGGGCCTTCTCCCTCGGATTTCGGGCAGCAGAATGGTGGTCAAAGAGTTGAGAAGGAGCAAAGGGCTTAACTCGATTGATCGATAAGTTGACAACTGGATTTGGGTTGGGCCTTGTTGTTCCAACTTATTAAACTAATTTCGTAAAACGCTATTTGGGCCACTTTCTTTTGGGCCCGGTCTTTTCATGTATAAATAATCCAAGCTTGTGTTGATCCTTGGCTTCCTACCTCTCCTCCTTCGAGCCCTCTCCTTCGTCCAGGTTTGATGCATTCTTCTCCTTTTGTTTCGGGATTAATTGACGCTGGCTCTAGGGAATGGAATTATGCTGCGTTGAATCATTTTTTCTGTCCTCAATCGGTGGCCATTATTTTGCAAATTCCTCTCCCCCAGCACTCGATTCCGGATGAGCTTATTTGGCAGCCAGAGCCTTCAGGGCAATTTACGGTAAAGTCGGCCTATCATTTAGCTTTTTCATTGCACCGTACTCCTCCAAAGAAGGCTGGTGTGGATATTGTTGATTGTGGAATGTGGAAATGGCTCTGGATCAGGAAAGTTCCCCCTAAACTAAAATTTTTCATGTGGCAATGTCTTCACCGAATTCTTCCGACTCGAGAGGCTTTAGCTTTGCGCGGCATGGACATTATTCCTATTTGTCCGGTTTGTGGGAAGAAGGAAGAGACCCTGGAACATCTCTTCTTCCTCTGTTCCGTGGCTAGACGTCTTTGGCGTAAGATTGGCTTCAATGATCATCTTCGTTCTTGGAGGATAGGTTCTTTTGCCGGGTTTGTACGCTCTGCTCTGTTCAATGCTAATGATTCGGAGGCTGACTATTTCATATTGCAGGTCTTCTGTCTACTTTGGAGATTATGGAAAAACAGGTGCATGGTTTTTTTTGAAAATAAGCAGATGCAGGTAGACACGCTTGCAGCGCAATGGCGACATCAAGTCTCCGAATCTGATTCAACGCTACTGCAAAATTCAATCCCGCCTTCTCTTCATGCCTTGCCGACTTCTTCGATGTCAGCTTCCTCTGAGGGGTACGACTATGTGGTTAGTTTTGATGGAGCAACTCGAGAAGGAAAATTGGGTACAGCGGCATTTGTGGTAAAGGATTCGGGAGGTTCAATTTTGGAGGCTCAGGTACGAAGGTCGGACGTCATTGTGGATCCTTACATATTGGAAGCAATTGCTCTACGGGATTGCTTGCTTTATTGTCATCGTAGATCCTTGGCTTCGGTTATGTGTTGTGGGGATGCAAAACTAATTATTGACAAGTGCAATGATCGGCTGCTGATGGATGAAAAGATTGGCGCGATACTTAAGGAAATTCGTATAATCCTAGATGCTATGGAGGGTTCTACTCTTCAGTTTGTTGGTCGTTCTAATAACAGGGAAGCTCATTCTGTGGCTCGTCATGCCCTGTTTTTGTCACCCAGATTGTTTGTTGGGTTCGACTACGTTTCTTGGTTACGTAGTAGATAGATGGTGTCGTTGTAATTCAACTCTTATCGGTATTTGTTTTCTCCTCAAGGTTAGAGGAATCGAATGAAAAAAAAAAAAATTAAACTGGTCCCATTGCCTAGCTGCTCAAATTATAACCAGTCAATCAAATCCCCTCTTGGCAATTGCCGCGAAACCACTCATATATTTGCCTTTAAATTTTCATCATAAAACATCGGTTTCTTATTTGGTTAGGTCCAAAGTCAGCAGTCAAACAAAGAGAATCAAACAGCTCACAGTTGACGAATTTCCTTCCCTCCCTCGATCGTTTGGGTATCCCATTTAATTTCCCACGTGTGTCTTTGGCTCGCTTGGTTATTAATTTTTCCCTTTTTATGAACGAAAATATCGTAATAAAAAAAAAGTGAACAGCAGCCCAAACATATCATATGTGGAAACTGGAAACTCACAGCAGCCTAAATAATTAATTAGTATTAAAAAAATGAAGGAACGTGTATATTCATGATGAGCCACCAATCAATCCATCACAAACGATGCCGTTTCGTATACACAAAAAGCATACCGCCAAACTACATTTACTACAACAAAGCGCTTATACTTGGCTCCACAGTTGACGCAGCTCCTCAGCCGCGGGTATCTCTAGCATCATTCGGTCCAAGTCCTTGAACGACATCCCTTTCGACAACCGCCAATCCCCGCCAGAACTCCCACCTCCACCGCCGCCGCCGGTACCACCTCTCTCAGCCGAACGCGGTGCGACTACAACATCGTCGTTTTTGAGTACTCTAGAGGGAGACGGCCTCTTTCGCTTTGAAGTAGCGGCGCCGGTGAAAGACGCCTCCTCGATCCATGAAACGCAGGAGTCCTTCCCCGTGAGCCTCTGAACCACCGACTTGAAGCTTTCGGGCTCCGTCACGACGTACCTTGTGTCGATGAGCACCACCTTCACGTCTCCACGACGGCTTTCACCCTTGGTAGCGATTGCCATTGTATAAAAGAGTCGAGGAAAGCAAAGAAACGAACGAGCAAAGATTCTTGGTAGAGGCAATGTAACTAATAATATGGTTGGTTGGTTGGTTCACAGCTCAGCAAGGGTATGGTGTTTTTATAGAGAGAGGAAAGGGAGATGGAGGAGAGGAGAGGAGAGGAGCGAGGAAGGTGAGGAGAGTACGTACTATATTAGGAAACTGGTGGTGGTGGGGGGATTCTGATTTTTGATGTTAGAGTTAATTAGTTGACCGTTTTTGCAATGGCAAGCAGTCTTGAAGGACTATTGCAAGAGACACGTCGGATAAGGGTCCCAACTGTGCTCGAGTCTGACCGTTAAAACAAGTGTTCGAGAATGAATAATGATGGATTTGGAAGCACATGCTGATATGACCATATATTATATAATTTAAATTTTAAGCAGACCCACTAATTTTATTTAGTGGGTGTTTTCTTTAATAATTAAATTAATATTTAATAAATATAATTATTATATTAAAAAAAATATCCTACTAGTAGTGTAGGTTATTAGGTTACAAAAATAGTAGCACGAGGAGCTTCTATATTTTTTAAAAAATTGTAAAATATAACAAATCTGTTTCATTATATCTTATTAGACAGTCATTCATGAATCGATTGTGTATTAGATTCCAAAATTTGTTCATGATATAACTCAAAGTTTTAAAAGTTTTTTCGATATTTACGGCTGTAACTGGTAAAATTAATACAAGTTTGAGAAACAAATAGACAGATGATGACGACGAGTAGAGGTTGAACGTTGACGGCCCGACTAGAGGCGGGTAGGGGGTGTCACGTGAATGATTAAAGAATAGGAGTCGACTCTCGAACTGTTTCGCTAGTTATTTTACATTGCTTCGTCAATATCATACAGGTGGGGATCAAGAATTTAGTTCTTGCGGGGTGAATGAAAAATTGACGAAATTGAAGTTAATTAAATTGGAATTTATTTTAGCGTATACGCAATTATGTTTTTATTGTAATAACAACTTAATTGTAGTGCAATGGATACTATATTTTCTTTTAATTGCAATATCACGAGTTTGAATCACATAATTACTTCTTATTTTTTCCATCGATGAATCATTTTCTCTAAAATTTTATAGGTGTCCTGGCTCACCCCTCAAGGCTCAAGTTCCTTGGGTATGATCCTTAGCAAAGTAAGTGTCGTAAAGCGCAAGTAGGTACGGTAAGTCGTAGTCAAAGCACGCAAGTTGGACATTGGCAAACCCCAAAAAAAAAAAAAAAAGTCATGCAATCATTTGTTGAATGGGTAACTGGGAAAATGACCCAACAGTTTGACCCAGTTTTGACATCTTAGAAGCCCGTACGACTACAAAGCCCAATTCCAACATGTGGCTACGAGGGCTTTAACGTAGTAGCTCTTATTCATCGTACGCATGCAGTTAATGGATGGATGGATGGATGGATGGATGAGCCCTACGCCCCTACCCACAAGTGAGACTCAGCTAACAATACAATGGATGCGCTTATATTATATATTGATTGCAAATGAGACAAATCGAGTTTTACCCTAATTTGAGCTCGGCTCATTAATAAATGATGAGTTGAGCTCGAGCTCGGCTTGTTTATTAACGAGTCGAGTCGAGTTCGAGTTAGCTTGCTTATAAAAATCTTGACTCTTATTTGATATGTATCCATTATGTATGTAATGTATGATACTTGTGGTTAGATGTGATAATTCTCAATTCAATCCACCAATCCAATCCACCAACCCATTAAAAATATACACCAAATCCAATCCATTTAAATCTCATCCATTTGATCCAAATCCAATTGGATTGGTAGATTCATGGATTGATCCATGGATCCAAATGGCAAAATACGGTTTGGTACCTATACTTCTTATATTTTTCATATTGGTACCAAATATTTAATTTTTTATACGAAAAATATCATTGGAAAATTACGTTTTGGTACCTAAAAATTTTCATTATGACATTTTAGTACCTAAACTTTTCATATTTTACATATTGGTCCTTGGTTGAGGATGTCATTTGGATTCATGGATAATCCGCCAATCCACTTGATCCAAATCCTTGAATTCACCAATCCATTTGATCCATAGATCCACCAATCCAATCCACCAATCCATGGATCAATCCATTTGCCACCTCTACTTGTGGTTAATGTCAAGATGAAAAAATAACAATAATTAACACTATGTTTGGCAACAAGAGAGGTGCAAGTTCGAGGGGGTGTAAGGTGAGTGGTAGATTGTTGGGGGGTGCAACTTGGTGTGGGTGTAAGTGGAGGTGTAAATTGTTGTTTGGATGAAAAAGTAGGGGGTGCAAATAGAGTGAAAAGTAAATAATTATATTATTATCAAATAGATTTATCAAATTTATAAAATATTATCATAAAATGATAAAAATAAAATCAATATGTAATAATAATTAATATATATTAATAAAATTAATTAGGGCGTGCCTATGGTGACCGTGCATGGACATTTCGGTCGACCTAATCGTAACAGCGCTCGACCGAATTGACTAATTTGGGCACCCTGAGGACTCATCGCGGTCGACCTCAAAGATCATATGGTCGACCGTTTGTAGTTTAAGTTGTTATTTTTGGTCGACCATAATAAAACCTCGCTTGCCCTTTTCGTTGGCGTCAGAAGCAACATAGTCGACCGTAAAGGTATATAGGTTGACCACTTGATGGCAGTCATTAACAAAATGGTCGACCATTTACAACAAGATGTCGACCAGATTGATGAGAAGTGTTGTATCCATTTATCCATCATATTTGACGTAAAATGAAGATCGTAATTCGATTTCGCGGTCGACCCAATTCGGTACTAGGTCGACCGAATATGGGTATTTCAATGCAAGTACAAATTATGTTTCAAACCAACATAACAACTAAACAATGATAACAAGGACTCATAACTTCATAACATAACAACTAAACAAACTAACAAGAAATACAATAAAACACAAATCAGAATTGTTCACACATAACTAAATCTAAAACAACAGAATAACAATCAACAATATTTTTTAACACTTAACAATAAAAACACATAATCTAAAATCATCGAGTTCCTACTCATGTCCCCTATCTCCCTCATCACATTTTCTTCATTGTTGTTGTTAGCATTTTGGTAGTCGGATGTGGTGGGATGCATGTATCTTCCACTGAAAGATCGAAACTCATCTCGCATCTCATTCACGGTCACCTGCAGTGTGCTCATCTGGGTGGTCATTTGTACATGCCATCCATGCGCTCCCACACACGCTCTAAGGTGACCGGAGGAGTTGAACTCTGTGCCTGTGGCATTGGCTCGTCTCCGGCTCCTTCATCAGAATCACCATCATCATCCTCATCATCATCACCACCATGGACACCATGAGCATTGTTTATTCAGACATACTCACCATTACGCAGCTCAAAGCCCAAATCTTTTTCAGAGATGAAACCGAATATAACTCTTGCCTTGAGATTCTTAAGCCAACCTCACCACTTAAATCCACATTAAAATGCTCAAATAGCAAAGTTAGGATCATCCCATAGGGAAGATTCCTATTTGAACTCTCTGCAGCAGTAAGCATGTGGTTAAAGATCAAGTATGACAAGTTCACTTTCTCGTCTAACAGTAAGTTGGTGAGGAGCTCCATGTCGAAGTAGGTGATTGTCTCCCGATGTCCACCCTTTGGCAGAATGTTGTAGGAAAGCATGTGGTGAAGAACTCTGCCTTGAACTGTAAGGTGGTTACTCATTGGCCTACTGGGACACTGAGCATCTTCCTCTTCATCAAGACCACATACCGTCTGGATTTGCTTGGTTCTCGAGAAATGAGTTTCATTCCAAACAGTGTAAGAATTGATTCTCTTCCCCTCGTTTGGAGCCTTTAGTACTTGCGCCAACACATTTTTGCTGATGCGCATCTCTGCCCCATTCACATAGCTTTTAAATGCATGAATGGATCCATTTGCATTATGCTGATAGGTGATGTTGTTCTAGAAGTATTATACCATTTTTGGGTACTATGGTGCATTCAGAGATATCACCTTCAACCACTCTTGTTCGACAAAGGGTGCTAGAAACCCGTAATTCTCGAAATGAGAATATGCATCCGTCGTCAATGGCCTTCCAGGAGCCACCTTGCGGTTGTGCATTCTCCTCTCTTCAAATTTGTCACTTTGCTCCTTGGTTTGGAACAAAGAGGGGCTGAACTCTTCCCATTCCGAACTTGAGGCAGCCGCTTTGTTTGACTTTCTTTTCTTTTTGCTGTCAAACATCCTGAGATCAACAAGCGAGAATAAACGTTAGGCACATTTTCGAAATGAACAAGACTCGGTCCACCTTTCTATAAACAGGTCGACCTATACACTACATGCATAGACAAAACAGAACAAAAATAAGTCGACCTCTTAACATCATCGGTCGACCTCTACTTGCAAGCAGAATCAATAACCCCAACATTTACGTAAATCTACGATACAAAAACATAAATAGGTCGACCTCAAAAACATCATAGGTCGACCTAATACACACCATAGGTCGAACTCAGAAAATCAAGCACAAATATGGGTCGAAGAAGGGCAAAATTGAAGTGCAAAACATCATAGGCCGACTTCAAAATCAGAAACGGTCGACCTATGTTAATTAAAAACGAGAATGGACCGACCTAAACCCGTAACAATTATCATAGGTCGACTCAAAAGCATATAGGTCGACCTCAGTCAATCACGCAAAAATATGGGTTGAAGAAGAAGGCCAAAACTCGTAAAAGATGTCATAGGTCGACCTCAGAAACATCATAGGTCGACCTCGATGAATAAAAAACGAGAATGAATGGGACCAAACGGGTAAAATTTGGAGTGCAAAACGTCATAGGTCGACCTCAAAATCATCATAGGTCGACCTCAGTTAATTAGGCACAAATATGGGGCGAAGAATAAGGTCAAAACTCGTAAAAAATGTCATAGGTCGACCTCATAAATAGGGATGGCA